CAAATTTTTTAAAGTAATATTTGGAAACATGGTAAAGCCGTCTTTTTCAAAAAAAAATAAAATTTTTTATTTAAAATTATTTTTAGATATATATCAATATCAAAAATAATTTTTTTAAAATAAAAAAAATCTTATTTTCATTAATTTAAAAATAAACAAAACACTTTAAAAAACAAAACAACCGATACCACAATTTTAAACACCTTCCATTAAAACTATGGAGTAAAACGTGCAAAACAAAGTGCTAATTAACTGAAAACTTCTTCTATGACAATTGCATGTAAGGTAGAGAACTCAGCTTATGAAAGATTGCGCCATTAGCAGACTGCATTGGATTTACACACAACAGCCACAATGTCCTTCAAACTCGCAGAGATACACTGATAATTTTCATAAATGAGAACAAAACCATCTCAATACCGATCGAAATATTTAGACAAAGTGAATCAAAAGAATCCAGACATGCATAACCCCTAGTCAAGCTTCTGATCAATGCTTTCCTTGCGTTCTATACTTGACTTGCTGAGTATGACCACACCAATTACAATGAGCAAGGCTCCTGCGAACCACTGTATGACGGGTTTGATTATCAGAGACAGAAAAGTTAACGAGTAAAATAACCAATCTAGGGTGCTTTGTTTTGTTCACAAACATCTCAAGTTCCACCATACATCTCTGCGATCATACTGACATCATTCTCAGGGGTGAATCATTCACTAAAGGTAGAAGGAAAACATGAGCAAATTTTAGTGTGGATCAGCTTGCAGTCACAACCGTGGAGAACTCAAGCCTAAATAATTTCCTTCAATATGTTAGCTGGTGTCTTTTTAAAGGGTTCATCAATTTTAAGCGGTGATGCCAACCCGAATAAACCATAACCAAGCAAGGCTTGTAGCATCCAACAGAATACACGGTCAGGACTCGAAAAAACTGCTTCCTATATTTGAGAATGCTTACATTGTTCTTCAGTTGACAATATTTCTAACATGGTTAGCTCACAATGAGTAATGTCAACAGCAGAACTTATGGATGCAAAGTAGACAAAAAATAAAATTTCCAACGTTGGCACGAACAGCATCCAATGATTTACCTGAACTGAAAGCGTCTCCTTGAACAAAAAGAATCCAGCAAAACCAGAAGACAGGAAATTCGCAGCAAAGTTTGTCACCGTGGCTTGCAGGGATGAAAGAGCTTTGAGGCTGTTAACGTAACATCCCCACATTGTCACATTAAATAACACAACCAAACCATATTTAATCGCCTATCAAGATCATGAAAAAAACAATCACCGATCAATTTATAGACAAGAACAACAATTGGAATTTTTTAAGAGACTAACTACTCTTTGCTGAATTGGGTTAGCGACAGATAATAATTTAGGGAAGAGAATAAAATCTACAATCCATCTGGGATTGATCAGAGATTAGAGTAATTATAAGATTTATTACCTGATATGAAAAGAATTTTGCAGCAATGGCAGCAAAAGCAGCATTTAATCCAGCAGATATTGCCCACACGTAGCCTGTTCTTTTGGTGCCATCCATTGCCGAACTGCAAGAATTCAGCACAGCAGAGAGGCTGTCAAATTTAGCGAAGGGTGCCGGGCTAAGCAAGCAACGATGTCGTTTGAAGAAAGGGTAAGCAACAAGTTGTTTGAATTTCTTCCATATAGCACGTCGTTATGATGATGACTCGAGTGAGTTAATGCAGTTACGACTCGGAGGGTTTTACCTCACAAAAGAAACACAACTCGTCCACGCTGGGAACCCTCGTTTGTAAAATCTATCCAATCAAAATTAGTGCTTGGACGTTGGCGATCCTGACTATTAAAGATCAAGCAATCTCAGCCGTTGTTAGATTTTTAATCTTCTTCTCTCAAGTTAGTTCCAAGAAACCGACATAATCCCCATTTTGCCACTATATAAAGCCTGTCCTCTCTGCGTCTTCGTTTCATAAGTTAAAAAAATCAGAATTTCTCTTGGTTAATCTTAAGAAAGGAGATGGCTCGTACCAAGCAAACTGCCCGTAAATCAACCGGTGGTAAGGCTCCAAGGAAGCAGCTCGCCACCAAGGTGCGTCTCTCTAGGGTTTCGGCTTATCATGTTCTTAATTAATATATGTACTAATTTTCTGTATAAACTTTGGGTTTCAAGATTTAATTCTAATTCTTGACACACTATTTTATTCGATTAATGGTTATTATTTGGTGTGATGTAGGCTGCAAGAAAATCTGCTCCTACTACCGGTGGGGTCAAGAAACCTCATCGTTATCGCCCTGGAACTGTTGCTCTCCGGTAACGATTTCCCTAATTCCAGTGTTTTATTTTTAATTGATCGTGTTTTTTGAAACCCTAATTGCAATATTTGTTTCTTTGAATCAACAGTGAAATCCGGAAGTACCAAAAGAGCACTGAGCTTTTGATCCGCAAGTTACCTTTCCAGCGACTTGTTCGTGAAATTGCTCAAGACTTCAAGGTATAATAATTTCTTCTACAATTGTTTTTATTGAATGAATTTCTGGATCTGGAGTTTGATTCTATGGGTTTGTTGTTTTTGGTAGACTGATTTGAGGTTCCAGAGCCATGCTGTACTTGCCCTCCAGGAGGCTGCTGAGGCTTATCTCGTGGGTCTGTTTGAGGACACCAACTTGTGTGCTATTCATGCCAAGAGAGTCACCATCATGCCTAAGGACATCCAGCTTGCTAGGCGTATCCGTGGTGAACGTGCTTAAGCCCTGTTCTTAGTATACTAATTTTAGTTCATTGGATTTGATACAACTAGTTTAGGTTTTATAGTTTCAATTCACTGTTTGCTTATGATGTCGAACAACTGTGAACCTAATTGAGGTATAGTTGATGGATTTTTATGTGGTTTCGTTCTCAATTCTGATTATATATTTATGTGGAATGGCTGTTCATTATAGTTGATGGATTTTTATGTGGGGTGCTGTTCATTATAGTTGGCAAGAGGTTACTCAGCCTCACAATGCCCAACAGGACTTGATGTTCCGCCATCCTTAACCTGTAAAACATCTAAATTCCAAGAGTCGGTAGTAGGCAAAATTCCCTTTTCCAAATCATTCAATTTGCTTGTGGAGCGTGGTGTGACGAATCATGTCATCTTCCATGTTAGAATCGTTTATCAGACTATAATGCGTGTCAGAATTAGATTGGGCTGGGAAATTATATTCAACACCAGTTATCGATTAGGATTATTCCTGGAGTCTGAAATGGGATGCGGCCTTTTTCTAAGAGGGGGATCGTGTCCCAATCCAGGCATCTACCGAGCCTGTAGAATTAGCTTAAACCAGCTCAAGCTTCTGGTAAAACGCAAAAGATAGATTTAAAGAAGTGACCTTTTCGAGCTTATGGAAGTGCTTTGCATTACGTAACCCAAGAATACAGTTCAAGTTTGCGTGTCATCTCTTGCAATTTCCTACTAAAGTGCGCCCCAATTTAGTCCCTAGGAGGCGAGTATTATGACCGAAGGACCGTAAACGTCAGCAGGCGCACCCAGGTCAAGTAAATCTACGGCCTGGTGAGCTATTGAGAACTTTAATCTAAGATGTTTGATGTAAGGCCTGGGTCAATTAGATGGCGTTTTAGTGGTTTAGGCCACTAAGATCCAACTTTCGTTTCTTTATATTTGGATTTTCGAAGGACAGTCTATTTGCCCAGTCAGGGGATGATTTCGATGATGAAGGCGGTGTTTTCACTTTCCACACTTGTTATTTGAAAGTATTAAAAAATAATTTTAAATAAAAAAAATAAGCCACCCAACTAAAAGTAATAATACATCATATGTACTGCACTGCAATCCCTTTATCGTCAGGCTCGCCCGTGAACTTGTGGAATGAGGTCCAAATGATTTCCCGTGCAACACTAGCAGACAACCTTACGCATGCTCCGTGCAACACTAGCAGACAACCTTACGCGTGCTTGTTGTCTTCACCCTGCAGCATAGCCGCCTATGAACTCTCCTTTGGACATATAATAACCCCATTAAGTCCCTTTACAGTTTTCTTTAGATTAAAAACTAGTATATTAGCGCGGTCAATATTTTTATTTTTAATATAAAAAAATATTTAAAGTACATAAAATATTTCAAGCACCATGAGTTGGTAACAATATAAGATCCAAGAGTCTTGATAGGCTTGGGTTAGATAGTCATATATGATCTTGTTGTTTTTCTTGCAATGCACAACATGATTTTTCTAGGATGAGAGAGGACAGAGAGGGAGGGAAAAACCCCCCACCGGAGCTTCTTTGTGGGTCTCCTTGACACACACCTTGCCATTATGCAGGGGTGGAGAGGTGTATAAAAAAACGCCCTGTGAAGCAATTTTCAATTCTGTTCTAGAATTGCACTCGTTATCTAAACGACACAGGTAACACCTATCTGCTAATGTATGCCCAGCACATTTCAATCATTACACTGTTTCAACATGTATTTGAACTGTTTTAAAAAAAATAAAAAGATGAAAAAGCTCCAACTGCATGCTTAATAAGTTTCATTACACTGCTTTAATTCTGCTTTAATTCATAGTGGTTTATGTTTAGATAAATAGTAAAATGATGAACAATAAACCCAATAGGGTTTTTCGTTTTCTTGGTAATTAGTTTATTCCTCACATTATCTAAAATACATTTCAAATGTATAAATATTTTTGATATTATCATTAAATTTAGAATGACTCAAGTTTGAAATCGTTTAGCTTGAATTTTAAATTAATAATTTTGACATGTCCTAGCACGTCCAAAGACAAAAAAGAAACAAGTCAGGTTTATTCTTATTAATTTATGATTTTGATTATGAATTTTACTAAATCAAATTAAATTTTTTATTTTATTATATAATAAAAAATATAAAAATTGATTTAGTATTAACTCAATATTAAAATAGAAAATTAAACAAAAATTCATGAAGATAAAATTAATAAAAAATATGATAAAAAGAGACTAACAATAAAAAAAATACTAAAAGTTAAAATAAAATAAAAACTTAACATTAAATAATTAAATTAAAAAAAGCCCAATAAACCTAAAGAGCCCATTATAATAAAATCCAGGCATATGTACTCAAAGCAAACCTCATAGGCTAGACCATTAATTTTTCTTTTCAAGAAAAAAAAAAAGAAAAAAAGAGATAGAATGACTTGTATCTCAAGTATAGCTTAGGTAATATTTGTTTTTTGAAAAATATTTTTTAAATTTATATGTATTTGTTTGTTATTAAAAAAGTTGGTCAATAAAAAACACTTTTCAATTAATAAAAAAGACTTTTAAAAAAGTTGGTCAATAAAAAACACTTTTTAATTAATAAAAAAATACTTTTCAATTAATAAAAAAAATTTTTTAATAAAAAAAATTTAGTTTAATTTTTAAAAATATATTTTTATTTAAGCTTAAGCCAGTCATATCTCAGGGGAAAACAGAAGAGTGAGAGGGGTGTCTGTAAGCGAAGGAAGACATCTGCCTTCCTAACGAAAATATTGTTGATAGCATGAAAAGTTCCCTCGACTTGACCGTACATTTATCACTTGAGCTAATACGAAGTTGTTAATTAAGCTATTAAAAAACAAATTTTAAGACCTTTCCGACCTGGAATTTAGACTAATCTATATTGAAAATAAAAATAAATAAAATATGATTTGATTAATAAAAAACCTGGATAGATATAAGATAAAACCTAATTAAAACACAAATATTTAAAAAAAAAATTAAAAAAATAATGTTTTGATTATTTCTTAAAAAGAAATTAGTTCATTTCTTGTTGACCCCTTTAACTTTGATGTAAGCCTTATAACCATGACTAAAGGCCAATAAATTAGAAAATGGCTGGTTTGTCTCTTCCTTAACAAATCTCATCTGTATGAGCAAAGCCTGTCTGTTCTTCTTCTGCCAGTGCAAACAAAGCCAACGCTGTGAAAGCTGCATCTTGAAACAACATCAACGTCGTCAATAAAGACAATGCATCTACTTCCTTATCACTGGAAACAGAAATTATATGCATGGGGCCGTAACTTGAAAAGCTAAAGGGTTCGTTTTGGAGAAAAAGAGAAAAAAAGAAAGCTAGGAGAAAAAGAATAAAACTCGTTTTTTTTTCTTTTTTGTGGCTCAAGATGGTAGAAAAAATGCACGGATTAACCGGAGCCTCAGGAGCTTCAAAATCGAACAAAGATGGATGAATTAGTTCACCACCCCATTTCCTCAATGTATCACCACCATATTTCATATAGAATAATAATAGTAAAAATAAATAAAAAAACAGGTAAAATCAAATTAGCTGATTTTCTTTTTATAACATCAAGAAATATAACTTAATTAGTCATATTCTAAATTTATTTTTTAAAAATTAATATTTTAAATCTTATAAATTTTAGTACCATTGAAGATTTATATTATCATTAACTTTTTAATATATAAGATTAATCTAGATATATATATACAAATTGACTAGAACATCCAGTTAATAATAATATAAAAAAACAAAACCTAATTATTAATTCATCTTAAATCTAAAGAAATCAAACCCTTCCTTTATCCAAGAATATTAGAGAAATTGAAGTAAACAAATGCTTTAAACCACTCCAATGCGAGAAAGGACCACGACCCAATTCCAGCCACCAATGAACCCCCTCCTGGACCTTTCCTTTCCCCACCGACCAGCAGCAAGCACTTTCTTTTCCCGCAACCCCCTCCTCCACCTCCTTTTCATTCCATTAGCTATTATAGCTAAGGAGTTGGTTTGGCTAGTATGAACATGCATGGATGCTCTTAAATCTCAAAAAGGCTAATAAGGGGTCTTTTAATTATGCGTACATCGATCAAACTTTTTGAGTTGATCAGTATCTCATTAATAGAAAGAAATACATTTTATCTTTGTGGGAAAAAGTTGAAAGAACACTTAATGTCGATGACGATGACCTAATTAATTCACAGTGAAGGTGCATGCCCTCCTTTAATGTATTTAGATTTTGTCACCGTGATTGGTGACGAGTATACGACATATTCAAGGGTGACAAACTTACTTCGGGTGCATAAACCCTACACAGGTCAATTGTCAACTCTATTTAAATGTGGAATACTCATGTGAGATTCACGGTCCATCGTAACTTTGTAATATAATCTTCCACAGCCCACCACTCATACTTCAATGGATCTCTATTCCTTCCCGTGTCAGAAATTCTTTTGCCACTTAATTTCCATGATCGGTGCCTGTTATCACCTTATCATCTCATTACCATCAAGAATATTTTTCTTTCACGCTTCAATCTTTCCTCGAAGGATGAGGATTCGATGTGTAATCCATTAATTAATAAAAAATAGTTGATCACAAGATAGAAAAGGGGATAGGTGCCAAAATAGTAAAAATACTTGCATCAAATTGATTGATCACAGGGGAAGAAGCTATGACGATTCTTTTCGTAAATGCCTACAAAATAAATAAATAAAACAGATAAACCAACCTGTGTATTGGCACAATTATGCCAAAGCAACATATGAATCTACACGTTTAGATATATAATTTGACCCAAATGCCTATGCTAGGAATATATTGATGAACCACGTATAACATGTAATAACCTGAGGGTGCGAGGTATCCGGAACTGGGCGTCGTGACTTGAATGTCATAAATTGATGTGCGCACATAGGTCACATTCTCGTTCCTGAGTGCCAGCAGCCTATGATTCATGGAAAAGGAATGTGTGTTGAATGCTGGTGCAACCATTGTCACCGACACCATATCTGCTTTTAATTTTCCTATGACCTTGAACCTTACCCACAATTTTTGTCCGTAACCAATATATTTACCTTTGGAAGCGGTTGATGAGACAATTTTTGGTCTCAAGTGCTTATTTTTTGAATCCAAATATGGTGGCGAGAATGCTTCTAAACTCAATTCAGTTGGAAATAAGACCCCTGTGAAGTCATATCCAATATGGGGATTGCTTCCACCAACAAGAACCCTGCCATCACGAAGCAAAATTGCTGTGGAATGGTACATTCTCGGGATTGTACTTGGATTTAGCTGCTCAAACCTTGAACCTGCTGCACCGTCGGGCCAATAGAGGACGGGGCTCAAGGCTGGACGTCGCCCATTTTCCCACCCTGCAGTACCATCTCCAGCTCCGTTAATGATCAAAACAACGCCGTTCGGAAGCAATGTCATATCGCCCATTACTCTAGCACAGGGCATAGTTTCCATTACCCATTGAGGACTTGGTTCGTTTATCTTGATCCGGCCACAAGTATCTAAAGCTTTGTTAAATTTACGTTCTGCCGATTTACGTTTTGTCGCCATTTCAAAAGACCCTTTTGGTGCACCTCCACATACCAAAACCTCAGCTTCAATAGTTGCAGCATCTAAGTTCTTCAAGGGAAGCAACACTGCAGAACCTGTACTTGGATAGCTTCTTGGATCACCTCCAGGTATTGCGGGATAAGTCTTCACCACCTTGCCCGTCTTGTAATCGAACAATATGGCTCGATTATTAGCGAAAATGAATAAATTCCCATCACTATTGAGAAAAACAAATGGATATAAGTTGTTTTCAATGCCACGATCATTAGTTTGCAATAGAAATGGCAAACTGTAGACATTAGGGGAAGAAGTTTTCGGATAAAATTCATAATTGAATTGCCTTCTGCCACCAATAACGATTTGCTTCCCATCTGGCAGAATATGATTAGTGGCATACCATCTTCTTGCCTTAAGACCATCACCAGTTTCTACCCAATCACAATCACCATTGCATGGATAGAAAGTCCGGACCTTACGTCTACCATCATTGAAACCACCGGTCTGAATCAGACTCCCATCAGGGACTACAGCACCTGAAGAACACCAAACATCGGTTTGGACCATAAGTGGCCTGAATTTATTAGCCAAGACATCATACTCAACAGAATGAGCGGTGCAGTCATATTTGATCACCAACTCCCGTGAATTATTTCGACATTTTCCATGTGGTAATGAAATATTGGACTTACCATAGTCAGTTCTATCATAGATTACTACACGGTCATTATTGAGGAGTTGCATATGCATAGCTACTATGCCAATGTTTTTCTGCAAGAGTTGCCACCAGCCACGACCAGTTGCCGAGGTCACTACTCGGTGACATGGTTGGACAGAAAAGAGCAGTTGCAAGAAGAGAAAGAAGAGTATCGAAGTATAACGATGCATTGATAGATTCTGATGTTTTTTTTACCTATTATTTTATGATGAGGATTTGGTGGGGCTGTGGGTGTCTCTATACTATAAATTGTAAGTTTTCTGCCAGTAGAACTGCGATGTTACAACACGCTTTTGAACCTCGAGAGATAAGATTCAGTCAATCTGGACAGTGAAAGCGATGAGTTTGCTGTCAAACACGGGCGATGAACGGACAGTGTATGTTTAATTCCTTATAGGCTCTATGAATTCCAAGGGAAAATATAATTTCATACGCAAGATGTTTACTACACTCGTTTGTCTTTCTTCAATTTTTTTTTTTTGGATCTTACAATAAGTGACTTCTATTTCTATTTTTATTATCTTTCTTCTTAAAATAAATATCTAATGAAAATAAATAAAGTCATATATTCTTCTACCATAATTTAAACCAAAATGATAATAACAATAAATTTTTAACCGCATTTCCAAACACAATTAATATAAAAAATTACTTGATTTTTCTTTTTATAAATTTGCTTCAATTCATATATTCTTGGACAGTTACTATTAAAAAAAGAAGAAGCTACCACAGATAACATTTTCAATATAAATATATCTTTGTTTATTGTGAATTGTAATAATAAAATTATGATTTTTTTTCCTTAAGAAAACTATCATAATGTTGCATTTGCAGGTATAACATGATATATTTCTTTGATCAATTTGTTATTTGATAATTATTCAGGAGTTTTATTATCTTTTTATTATATTTATACATAATAAAATGATTTTGGTAATCTTGGATGGAGATGCTCTAATGGTGTTCTATTTTTTGGGCTGTCAGAAGAGCAAGTGCAATCCACAGTGCTTATGATAAGAAGTTTGGAAAAGCGATCGCGTTCTAATAACTAGTCTGGTAAAAACCATTCCCCCCCAAATTTACCAGTTCATCTCCTAAAATTTATTTTGGTGTACCTTGTTGGAATCAGCGTTCGAATTCTTCAATTACTAGGCCACCATTTGGTCCATTGCATCTAAATTTTGGTAGAAGAACAAGGGCCACCATTTAATTTTTTTTTAAAAAATATTGTTAGCACAACATATTAAAAATATTAACAAATAACATGGTTTAAAAATAATTATTAACAAAGTAAATTTACCAGTTCATCGCCTAAAATTTCGTTATCTTTTCAATGAACTTTCAAGAAAAACATCCATTGACAATTTATTATAGGTTGATCTAATATCATAAAACCCTACACATAACTAAAATTTAAAGAAAAGTAATAATTATAGAGTTGTTTATTAAAAAAACAAATTGAAAATATTTTGCACTCAATAAAATCATGCATAAAGTAATTCCATTATCTTTTTGGTTAATTTTTTAGGATATCCACAAACAATGAATTGATACATGGATAATAAAACCCTTAATATATATCAAAGTTGAGTATTAAAACTATGAATATAAAACATAACAAATTGTAAACAAAGAAAACATAACAAATCAAGAATAACATTAACACATCATGATACTGAACATTATATTTGTTATATATTATTGGACAATCTGCTCTCGTTGCATCAATACATTCACGGTTCAATCTTCTTGAGATTTTAATAAACTCTATATTGCTTTGTTGGGTTCTATGGATATTCCTGGTCCAATATGATGGTGTGTACTTTGGACCGTTGAGATAATATAATTTTAATAAGTTCAAAGTGATAATCTTTGTTTAAGTAGAATATTGTATGATATAATAGTTTAAGATGATATTTAATATTGTGATTCAAATGTATATTTTAAAAAATTAGAAGTTTTTTTAATTTTAATTTTATATGTTTTAAAATGGAATTAATATGCGATATAAAAATATTATTATAATATATTTTAAAAGTAAAGAAGCTCAACCACTCCTGTACGCTGAATATACATGTACGCCCTCATCATAACTTTATGCGTGTATCTTTCACGAGTCTCATTTTGAGTATATCCAAAGAGCATATATCATGGGCCCACCAGTCAGAATTCAAAGGCTTTCTGCTTGAGTTCTGTTTTAAAGTAACTCGGGATCGAACTTGATATTGGCGGGTTCCGCTGATGGGAACACCGCAACCACGTGGATTGCTGTACTCTTAGGGACGCCATTTAACAGTGAAACATAACATATTGAAATATAAAAATTATTTTATTTATTTATTATTCTTTTAAACATCTTTTTTTTAATCATCTTTTTTTTAGAAGTAATTGCCTCTCAAGATTCAGTTATCAAAACAACTGATTTACATCATTTTATTCTCTCTCTTTTTTTTTTTTTCATAACTCAACTGATTTACATCATTTTATTCTCTCTTTTTTTCATAATTATTATTTAACTTATCATGTTAAGCAATCTTAATGAAGTCTTATTGAATTTTAAATTGACTAAAACTAATCATCTTGATAATTATCATAATTATTAATTAATATAATAAGTTAAGGAACAAATCATCTTCATTAATTATTATCATAATTATTAAGAATAAAATGACATCAATAAAGAAGAAGAATTATTTAAAAATATAAATTAAACTAAAAATATATATACTGAGTCATATTATTTTAAACATTGTAATCTGCGCCCAACGTAACCCATCAGCTGTTATGTTTTTCTAATTATTTTTTTAGTAAGATTTTGGCCTTTTGTTATATTTAAAAAAACTCCTATTCCTTCACGGGTCGGGAAATCCTTTTCCCACTAGCTTCCATGATCGGTGCCTGTTTCCATCTTACCATATCAATACCATGGAGAATATTTTCCTTTCACGCTTCAATCATTCCTCCGAGGATGACAATTTGAAGTGCAATCTATTAATTAAAAAATATTTAATCACAAGATAAGAAAATGGGATAGGCGCCAAAATGTAAAATACTTGCAACAAATTAATCACATATAATGCATAGAAGCAACTACGGTTCTGATCGTGCTTGCCTACGAATTTGAGCAGAAAATACGCTAGACCAAATCATGTGGCCATTATGCCATACAAACTTATGAATCTATATCTTTACATAAACAATCACATAATTTTGACCCAAATGCCTGTACTTGGAATATATTGATGAACGACGTATAAGATGTAATGTCCCGAGGGCGCAAGATATCCAGAACGGGGCGTCGTAACCTGAACGTCATAAGTTGATGTGCCCACAGAAGTCACTTTCGTGTTCCCAAGTACCAGCAGCCTATGATTCATAGAAAAGGAATGTGTGTTGAATGCTGGAGCAACCATCGTCACTGAAATCTTATCTGCCATTAATTTGCCCGTGACCTTGAACCTTACCAGCAGTTTTTGTCCGTAACCAATATATTTACCTTTGGAAGCAGTTGATGAGAGAATTGTTGGTCTCACGTAATTATGCTGTGCATCCAAATATGGTGGAGAGAATGCTTCTAAACTCAATTCAGATGGAAATAAGACCCCTTTGAATTCATATCCAATATGGGGATTGCTACCACCAACGAGAACTCTGCCATCACGGAGCAAAATTGCTGTGGAATGGTACACTCTTGGTATCGTATTTGGATTTAGAGACTCAAACCTTGACCCTGCTGCGCCGTTGGGCCAATAGAGGATTGGGTTCAGGACTGGATTGCGACCACTTTCCCACCCGGCAGTACCTGCTCCGGCCCCGTTAATGATCAAAACAACGCCGTTCGGAAGCAATGTCATATCACCCATTACTCTAGCATGAGGCATTGTCTCCATTACCCATTGTGGATTTGGGTCGTTTATCTTGATCCGGCCACAAGTGTCCAAAGCTTTGACAAAATTACCTTTTGCCACCTTTTCAAAAGACCCTTTTGGTGCACCTCCACATACCAGAACCTCAGCTGCAATAGTTGCAGCATCTAAGTTCTTCAATGGAAGCAACACTGCAGAACCTGTACTTGGATAGCTTCTTGGATCACCTCCAGGTATTGCGGGATAAGTCTTCACCACCTTGCCCGTCTTGTAATCGAACAATATGGCTCGATTATTAGCGAAAATGAATAAATTCCCATCACTATTGAGAAAAACAAATGGATATAAGTTGTTTTCAATGCCACGATCATTAGTTTGCAATAGAAATGGCAAACTGTAGACATTAGGGGAAGAAGTTTTCGGATAAAATTCATAATTGAATTGCCTTCTACCACCAATAATGATTTGCTTCCCATCTGGCAGAATATGATTAGTGGCATACCATCTTTTTGCCTTAAGACCATTACCAGTTTCTACCCAATCACAATCACCCTTGCATGGATAGAAAGTCCTGACCTTACGCTCACCATCACTGAAACCACCGGTTTGAATCAGACTCCCATCAGGAAAAACAGCTCCTGAAGAACACCAAACATCGGTTTGGACCATAAGTGGCCTGAATTTATTAGCCAAAACATCATAATCAACAGAATGAGCAGTGCAGTCATGCTTGACAACTATTTCACTTGAATCATCCCGACATTTTCCACCTGGTAATGAAAGATTCGACCTGCCAAAATCAGTTCTATCATAGATGACTACATGGTCATTGTTGAGGAGTTGCATATGCATGGCTACTATGCCAATGCTCTTCTGCAAGAGTTGCCACCTACCACCACCAGCAGCAGAGGTCACTACCCGGTGGCATGGTTGGATAGCAAAGAACAGTTGCAAGAAGAGGAAGAAAAGTATCCAACTAGGCATCTGCGTGTTTTTTTGGTTTTTGTTTTTGTTTTATGATGATGATTTGCTATGATTTTTGGTCGGGGCTGTGGGTGTTTTTATACTACAAATAATAAGTTGTCTGCTAGGAGAACTGCGTTGCTACCGCAAGCTTTTGTACCGCGTGAGATAAGATGGTGGAAATCCGGGCCAGTGAAAGTGATAGGTTTGATGTTTGGGAGGTGAAATTAAGGATCGTGTATCGTTAGATCCTTCTTGGCTTTACGATCGACGCAGAATCGAAGAGCACACAATGAATTCCAAGGGAAAATATAATTTCAATAATATTAAATGCTAACAATATAATATAAGCTGGATTTTTAATTCCTAGTCTAGGTATTTATTTTTGTTTATCTCAAAATAAACGTTCCATCTTTCTATTTATTTTTTTAAATCAATAGATTATTTTTTAAAAAAACAAAAACTAGCATAGGTGAGAAAATATATTAGGAAACAAAACAATCGTAGTTCTCGAGTGTCGTGTTTTAATGTCAGTTTAAAGTGTAATTATAGTTATTTTTTAAATAATTTTTTATATTAAAATTATATTTTTTTTAAAAAAAAAATTATTTTTAAAATCAGTATACTAAAATAATTTAAAATTCATAAAAAATTAATATTTTATAAAAAAATTAAAAATTAAAAAAACATGATTTATACAAAGTTTACTCTTTAACCAGAGCGAAAAGGAAAAGAGGAAGAAGAAAAAATCCGACTGCATATTGAAACTCTAATAATAACTCCAGTCAATCGACACTAACAATGGCGGGAATTAATGGCCTTACGCTGTATATCTCTGTGCAATTCATTCCCTTCCCTGTACCATTTTGTATGTTTAGAACAATAGTGGTTATTTATATATATAACATGGATGTCAAAATTATTTGATGTTATACAAGATTGAAAAGTTTTAAAACTTAAATTTATAAAAACTTCTGATTTTTGGCTTTTAAATGTCTTTCAAAGCAGTTTTTAGAATTTTAGGAGTCACCTTTTTCAATATTTTTAAAGAAAAAGGCTAGAAAACTGGGGGGGAAATGCCAAAAAGGTCATAGTTGCAAAAACGGGCACTAATTGTAGCTGGACTTGGGGTTTTGTTGAAAATGACAAACAAGATGAAAACGAAGGCGTTAAGATTCAGCGTACACGAACGCATGTCATTTCATTACATGTTTGGCATTTCTAAAATTTTTAAAGAGCACAAAACGATGAGCGGTGCTTAGTTGTTCGGCTTGAGATTTGAGAGGGATTCGTGAGAGTGCCTCTAATGAATTTTTATGTTTAGAATAATTTTTGGGGTTAAGAATTGAATTTTAAATATAATTCAATTTCTAAAATTGTTTTAAAAATAACGTAGATGTAAACCTTTTTGATTTACAATTTTAGAATAACAAAATTTAATGCTAAAACTATTTTTTCTTAAAATATCCATCAAACCTTTTTTTATAAAAAAATCTTTGAAAAATAGAATAAATAATAAAATGAATTGAATTAAATTTTATATCTTTTAAACACATAAATTCAATTTATTTATTTATTAAATTTAAATCAAACTCTATAACTATAACTATAATTGAATTGAATTAACTTATCGAATTGATTCCAAAAGTGTTAATTACTTAATTTGTAGCTAGTAAACTAATTGACGTCGCGGTCTCTTTAACAGTCTGATAGCTAGCTGGGCTTGCCCTTTGCATTTGGAAAATAAATACAACGTTATTTGGTGGTCATTTCATTTCAATGCCTTGTTCTTCATCGCCTGGAATAAAATCTGCCGGTAAACTAATGGTAGAAACTCGGGCTCTGCAATCTGAGGTAATATTTGAACAACCAGCTAGCCCTTTTCAGCTGGATGGCAATTGGCCATTCCATTTCAATGTCTTATCCATGATCGATCACCTGGAACAATAGCGCGAAAAACAAAGGGTACAATACATAGCAGCTGGTAAAGTCTGGGCTTCGAAGGTCCCTAACTATGTTTTCTAGATAGGTAATCGGAATTCTGGGCATAATTTTCTTCCGCTGAAAGGTGAAAGGAACAAAAAAAGTTGGTTAAGGAAGAACAAGGGGTAACGTGTTCCCTTTGCTTTCACTTAAACATAGCAATTAAACGTCGGATCACGTCGGGGAGGATTTTCCGGGCACTACACCTGAGTCCTGAACCGTACTTCATCGGGTAATGTTGGATTATTGGTCTTTTCCATCTATCAGGTGTCCATCATGTAATCAACTCAGCTTTGGATCTTTTTTTATATATTTAAAAATATTTTTTTAATTTTTTTAATATCTTACAAAATCTTATTCTAAAAAATATGTGCAAAAAATTAATTATCTTATTTTTCTCAATCATATTTAAAATATTAATAGTAGACGTGATTTAAAAACATAGAATTAAATCATAAGATATCATTAGTGAATTGTTAGTGGTTAGTACAATATGTATATAAAGCATTCGAGTTTTCTTTTATGTTTAAAAATCATGTAAATGATGTTAAATTTTATATCTAATATTTGTTAAATTTATTTATATTATGTAATTTGAAAAGAATACATCAACCAATACATGGTACTTGAATAGATAGATATTATACGAGGCTAAGGAACATTAACATTTTAATTTTATATGTTCTTTCAGACTTTTTATCAAAAAGAAATTTACATATTCTTAATTAATAATAATTAATGATCATTATCATGTATTTATAATTATAAATTGAACTTCAATTATAATATAAAGTTAGAAACTTAAATTTGATTTTTACAGGATTTGTAATTATTCATAATAAGAAAATCAAAGAAATTTTTTTTTTTATAAACTAAATCTTATTTAGAATGTAAAGATTATATGATTAGGTTTATTTTACAGGGATTATAATAGCTATATAAATTAACCAAAAAAAATAAAAATATTTTAACCCTGATCAAGCTAGATAAATCTGCGACTCAATTGAATTAATCAAGCTGATAATTAAGAACTCAGACTCAATCAAATCGGATGATATTTAGCACTTGGTGAGTCCATCCCTACCTTTCCTTGGAAGGACAAGATAAAATAATCTTTCTGATGATTCTAATAATATTTGCCAGGAATCTTTTCCCCGTGACCTTTCAAAGTGATAAAGGACAAGAATCATTCACTTTAAAGTTTTAGCCTCTACTATCGTCTATATATTTTTGTTTTAAGAGATTGTCTGTTAGTGTCATTCAATTGTATTTTTTAAGGTTTTTGAATTATTAATTTTTTATATTTTTAAATTATTTTAATAGGTTAATGTTAAAAATAAATTTTAAAATATAAAAAATAGTAAGTGTTTGAAAATGCAGTTATATTTTCAAAAAAAATTAATTAATTTTTTATATTTTTTGAATCGTTTTAATACGTTAATTTTAAAAATAATTTTTTAAAAAATAAAAAATATATATTATTTTAATATATTTTAAAAAATTATGTCTAAAAATAATTGCAACCTCACACAAACAGCACAATACAGCTGTTAAAGGCTAAATGTATTTTTTCAAATTTGGAACGTATATATAAAAAAGAAAGAAGCCTTTTTAATTGCGTGCACGGAAACTACCCCCACAAGTACGTTGTTTTTTCATCCTTTCTAGAGATGGGTTGTCTCTGGTTAGTTTCCCGACCCATTTATGCAATGCAGGTGAGCTAGGCGAAACACGAGCATGCATGGGCATCTATGAAGCTTTTGGAGCTCATCAGCGATCAACATCAAGCACGGAGTAAATTTTGATTCTAGAAGGCACTTGTCTATCAAGACATGGTATACGTTAAGGAATGGACTTTGTTGTGTTTTTTTAGCCCCTTTTGACTTGATTAATGTGTCATATTCCACTATTTATTTTCAGAAACATTTTCTCGACAACTAATCCTCTTTTTCAACTTTCGTTTTTATAATTATTTCTTCAATAAAATACGTTTAACTAATTCTTTTCTGAAATAGAAAGCAAAAGATCTCTTTAATTTATTTATTTTTAAAACAATGAACCGTGAAGAACTAAAAAAACCAATGTTAAACCAAATAAGGGCCTTTTCAGGTGAAAAAAGTGGAAAAAAAGCTATGTTTTAAAAGGGCGTAGTTTCTGCTTTTGAGTGTGCTGACAAACTGTGAAGAACACAAGCGTCTCCACGTATATTTACTTGATGCTTTTAGCTATGGCATCTCTTTTTCTGATATATGGATCTTGCAGTTGCAGACAAACTTTGTTTTTTTAACACTACTGCTCGAAAATTCCTTGAGCTCGATCCCAACACACGATCGAGCCTTGATCCGTAGGTTTACATGATCTTGACTTTATCAGGAGATTAAAGAGAAAAAAACTTTGTGGCGTGCATATATAGAATCATGATTTGGATTTAATTAGGGCCCCTTTAATATATTTTTCCCCACGTTGATTTCCTCTTCGATGTCTACCAGCTTCCCTTCCAGCAAACGCAATTGACTCTGTGTGGTCCAATATCTCTGAATATTATTTCTCAATGCAAATTCTTGAAAATACTTCGCTAACTTCTGTATTCTGACGAACTCCTTAACGACTATATGTACTGGCACGGCTTCGTTTCCAGCTCAATCATTTCTAGTCTAATTAACTAAAAAATACATTACTTGTTCTGCGCACGACGTCAGTCTCAGATTATTTTTCTTCTCACGTCGCTCTCAGTTTATCAAGAAGGCTTATTCAATGCCAACCCTAGCTTGGATGGGTTTGCAGAATTACTTGAGCAACCATCTTTGATTATATTTAAGCTCTGAACCAATGAATCATCTCTTCACCAACTCAGCTTGCCTCCCTTAATCACCTAATTCTTTGAAGGTGTGGTCGCTTTGATCCTCTTAATTAAAGCAGCCAAAGCATGCATTGACAAATACCCTAATTCTTTGAAAACGTGGACACTTGATCCTCCTAAAACAGTCTAAGCATGAGTTGACAAATACGTACATTAAGCAAATGATAGATTTTTTTAATAATATAAGATTAAGGATAAATAACTCCATTTATTCGATCTTATCTAATTGAAAAGGTT